CCCCCAAAAAAAAAAAAAAAAAGGAAAAAAAAAAGAAAAGAGGAGGAGGAAGAAGAAAAGGCTCTGTAGCAGGTTGCATCTACCTTAGGTTTCATAATCTGACCATTATTGCAATCCAAAATCCAGACAACTTTGAAGCCTTGCATCCCTATTTTGTTTGGCTATATGGAACATCCTATCCGAAAGATCTAAGCAATCTTACATCAGCAGAAGTCCATTTTCTGCCAACTTAGCAAGGAAAACAACTCACGATTATTCTAATTTTGTGTTCAAGGAATATATGATGTAGGTCTTGATGTGCTAAATGGATTTTCAATTAAGATTCTATCACATTTGATTGGCTCCTGCTGTTCTCAGAGGGACTTAAGACTCTATATCCACCTCTTCCCCCAACCCCACCTCCCCACTACCCACCCACCCGTGCCCACAAAAAAGAAATATGAAAAAAATTGTTTGTGTATGATTGATATAAAAACTTGGGTTTTTTCTGGCTTGCATGTCTCTTATGAACAATTTACATGTGCTCTATGGAGTATAAAAGAGACATGTGGGTGACTTTACAGAATGGCCCAAGGACATTTACATCAATAATCATCGTAGTCCTTTACTTGCTGCGACATCACCATGAATTTTATGCTTTTTGAACTCTTCTTTGTCTTGACAGTCTACTATTGAGAGTTTTGGTTATCTTCTTTTAACCTAAATCTGGATCCTACAAGACCTATGCGAACAACCGTGGTCATTCTAAATCCTTTGAGGTTCTTGCTAATTAGGGGTTCTCAAAGTTTGTATGTTTGAAAATTTGTTTGGTTAATCTTCTATCTATTAAACTCCTATAATCTTCTATCTATTAAACTCCTTTTTGATTTAGCTAGTTTCAGTCTAGTGTGCAGTTAGCTTCTACTCTCACTACTATTTATAGCATACATTTCTGTTAGCACTCAGCCCCAGCAGCCTTGACAAGTTCCTGACTTCAATTGGGAGAAAGCCATCATATGTAGACCTGGAGGTAGTTTAATTCTTTATACAATTCACTGTTAATTTACACATTTATGGTGTTAGATGGATGACAGATGTTAATTTGTGGTAGGCTAATACAAAGGTTGGAAAGGAAAATCCACCCGATCTTGCTGACCTTGTCCAGTCTGAAGTTTCCTCTTTGTCAAGTCAAATGGAAAAGGTAGTTTCTATTCAAAACAATGTGTCTGTGGGGAAGTCTAGTGATCTCACAGGTGAATGACAATTTAAAGTCGTAACTATACATCTGTTCTTTTTTTTCTTTTTCTGGAACTAATTGTTTGATTTTTGTTCTTATTGGTAGAAAGTTCAATTCAAATGGAGAAGGCAGTTTCTGCTCAAAACTGTGCCGTTGGAAAGAAGTCTACAAACCATACTGGTGAATGCCTATTTAAATTTGCAACCATGTTGGTACAGAATTAGTTGCTTTCTTCTCTTTTGCATCCATTGAACCCTTAATGACGTAATGCATTCTTCAATTGTTTCCTGCACTTGTTTTATTATGCCATTCTTCAATTGTTTCCTGCACTTGTTTTATTATGCCACACCAATCTATAACCCTGGGGGAAAAGAAAAGTATTCCAGAATGTTATATTTCTCAAATTAAAATTAACCAAATAGGCCTGCAGTTTTAGTCCACTGGTCACCAGCTACTTTATACATCTGGTTCCTGCAAGGTGGCGCAATGCTTTTGTTGATGTGATTATGAGCAGAACTATAAAGTATTATACATGCTAGCAACTCCACGCACTAATTCACGTGCCATAGACATTAAAACATATTTATCCTGATTTTTGTATAAAAAATAATTGAATTTCACTTACTTTAATTTGGTACAAAGAAGTTGAATTTGTCTAAAATTAATATGTAGTTACAAATTAATATAATATCATAATATACTTATCAATTCAATTTAATTAGGTTCTGAAAATACTCAATAGTTCATTGATTGTAACTTGCAGAAAAAGTGTAGAATATTAGTTGTTTTACAACTTTCTTTTAATTGATTGGCAACTTGTATCTTACTATGAGTTAATTGGTAAAAGTTTCTGTTTATTGAGGTTTAATTCTTCTAACTTCTGAGGAATTCATATCGTAGGCTTTATTTGAATTTGGTAACCTTACAATGATAGAAGGTCATGATAGTGGTTAACGGAGGAGATGACCTAGAATAGAGGTGAAAGGAAAATTAGGAATTATGTATCCGACCATAAACATTTAGGATAAAAGCTTTGTTGTTGTTGTTGTGGTGGTGGTGGTAATATCCTAAAATGAAATAATGAAGTTTTATATTTTTTATTTTACAAAACTCATTTATTTTGTAAATATTTTAGTCCTTGTATTCATCATTATACTCTTATTCCAGAAACTATATCATTAAATAAATATTTTAAAGGTAAATTTGACATGAAATTCCCTTGAAATGTCTTAAGGTTCATTTTTTTAATTCTTGTGATTGCATTATTTAGTATTTAAATTTGCATTTCAAATGATTTATGATGCAAAATAACTCAATGGTTTTGGACCTTATTGCATAAAGTTTAGATGGGGGATGGGTCTTTTTTTTTGGGGTGGGTGGGTGGGTGGCTGGGTGGGGGGGGG